CAGGGAGGGGCCAGCCAGTAGTGGGACCAGCCGGTTTGCCAAACTGTGCAAAAATTTAACAACTGGTTCGGGTGAACTGGTGCGAACTGGCTGAATAGCACCATTGCATACACGCGCGCACACACACACACACACACACACACACACAAACACACACACACTATGTGTGTGTATGTGTGTGAGTATATATATATGAACCAGTGCAAACCAGCTGAATACCGACATTGCATATACACATGCATACATATACATATACATACACACACACATAATATACATATACATACACATACACACATACCCATATACACACACACACATATATATGCATATACTATGTGTGTGTGTATGTATATGAACCGGTGCGAACCGGCTGAATACCAACATTGCATATACACATACATACATATACATATTCATGCACACCTAATGTACAAATACATACACATACACACATACCCATATACATACACATATGCATATAGTATCTTTGTGTGTGTGTGTGTGTATGTATATGTACATGTACATGCAAATATATTTTCTTGCAGAGATGTTGCGGAGGTTGAGACATATACATACAAATGTACACACACACACACACACACAAACATGCATATACTATGTGTGTGTGTATATATGTATATATACGAACCAGTGCAAACCAGCTGAATACCGACATTGCATATTCACATGCATACATATACATATGCATACATACACACACACATAATGTACATATACACACACATACACACATACCCATATACATACACACACACATATGCATATAGTGTAAACATATGCGTATAGTGCAAACATATTTTCCTGCAGAGATGTTAGCGGAGGTTGAGATATATACATACAAATGTACACACACACACGCACACTCATGTAGAGATGCAGGATAACACACACACACACTCACATACACAGCTGTCCGCTAAGCATATAAAACCGCCATCCGTAGGCCTGTTACCTGTCTCCATCTTGCCGTCTTGTGCCGCCGGCCCATCCGGAATGACGCTCTTCACCTGGAGAAACTCGTCAGGTTCGTCCCCACCGATGATGGTGAATCCAAAGCCCATATTGCTTTTCTTAAGGGTTGTGCTGAGGAAGGTGCCTTTCAGCTGGGAGGCGTCCCGGGTGAAGAGGGGTTTCTCTACATGAGCCAACACAAAGGGAGACATGAGACCGCTTGGGGTTGCCCCCTCCCCCCCGCGCGCACACAGACACACGCGAGTGCCGGGCTTCACACAGTGCAGCGAAAGCAGCAGCAGCAGCAGCAGCAGCGGGGACAAAAGTGTGGCGCTTGTACGAGTGGAAGCAAAGTAAAAGTGCAAGCGGTTTGAGAGAACCAAGAATATTAGTGAGCTGTTGTTATTGCTTTTTTTTTCTCTCTACGTCAAGCTAAATCAACCAAGGGTAGGATTCGTTTATCTAAAGTAGCTTCCCGTACGGACTCTGAACGGATTCTCGGTTCATTCAGAGCTGGGATTTTTGGAAAGGCGAGGAACTGGCCAGTCGGTGACTTCTCAATTTAATTTAAACTATTGCGTCGAAATAAAAAAAAAAACTGTTTGCAAAAACAATTGGAAGACGGACTTCTCAATCACACAAAGGGGGGCGGCGGGCGGCATGCATACGCATAGTCTCTGGCCGGTTCCACCCTCCAGGAACCCACTTTTACAGGGATCCCTTCAAAAGGGCGGCAAATGAGGGAACCTCAGCGGATCCACCGGTGCTTTCACGGAGTGATCAGACCACGGGAAGTGGTGGTGGTGGTGGTGGTGGGTGTGGGGAAAAAAAAAAGAAGCTAGGTGTTCGGCGTTTTTTGTTTCGTTTTTTTTCCCCCAGGAGGGGCAAAGAATTCAACACACTACTTTTTGATAATAGTGCAGCCCAGGTAAACAGCAGCACTCGACGTACCATATAGCCTGCACATTCCGGCAATGTCCCGCCGATATTGAGACAGGTCGCTCACACTGCGAGACCTCTGAGGAGCAAGGCGCGGGTGAACATGTTTGGGCCTAGGTAAGGTTGAGGAAGCGTTGTCTACTGATATAAAGGAGAAGAAGCCTCATTCTTTGTGTAGAGTCTTAGGACAATAATCTCTGCACCAATACAGACTGTTAATCATCCTTCGTTCCATTGCGTGCATTAACTTAGTCACCGCTAACATATGCATCGTTCATTCTCCCACACAAACCGAGCATCGAGTCACCTCGCACCACGTTGGCAAGGCAAGGCAATAAAGTCATCTTAAGCTCAAGAGGTGAGGTTAAAAAAAAAAAAAAGGAGAGGAAAGAGTTCCTTGAAGGGATCTCAACTTCTGGGTCGATACACATTCGTGGCCTTCTTGTTGTAGGTTCATAGTTACCTACACCTGGATGGCTTCCCGCCTAAACGCCAAGCAGATCCGCATCTGCTTAGCTATTTCGTCCTTTGCTAGCATGGGACATTGACTGTGGAATTAACCCATGGAAAAAATCTTCCATGAGACGCCTATGCTTATCTCTACAGCCGTGGTGGCACAGTGGTTAGAATGGAGTACGGCAGGCTGACTCTGCCCACTGCCAGGAGTTCGATCCTGACCGGCTCAAGGTTGACTCAGCCTTCCATCCTTCTGAGGATGATAAAATGAGAACCCAGATTGTTGGGGGCCAGATTGTTGGGGGCAAGACCGATTCGATCGCACAGACTTGGCCTTCTCCAGATTCCATCCGCCAGCCAATGCCGGCTGGCGACCCCCCGGGGGAGGGCCTTCTCTGTTGCAGCTCCAGCTCTCTGGAACGACCTCCCTGTTGAGATATGGACCCTTACTACCCTCCTGGCCTTCCGTAAAGCTACTAAGTTCTGGCTGCTCCGGCAGGTCTGGGGCTGTTGAAGTAT